CCTCCCTCCCTCCCTCCCCTCCCCTCCCACCCCCCTCCCCCCTCCCCCCCCCTCCCTCCTCGCCCTCCCTCCTCGCGATTCTGATTCCCCTTCTTCGTTCCATCCCTTGCTCCTGCTGCACTTGCTCCTGATCATAGTAGGAGATCTTCTGTATCGCCTCCAGATCGATCAACATCTCCAGCGGACTCCCATCTCGTGCCCCCGCTTTGAACACAGCCCAGCATGTTTTGCTGTCACTTGACACGAATTCATTGTCGTACATCCATTCGCATTTCTCTTGCTATCGTTGCACGGCTTCATTCCTCTGCGACATTCTCATGTCCATTGCACTCACTAGTCACCACCATCTCCACGTGCTTTGGTCTGGTCGATTTCGTTTCGAAGGATAGGACATCATGATATTTCGAGTGTTATCGCTCATTGATCTCTTGTCCCTGAATGGAGATTATCTGCAGTGTTTCCATCTCTTCCTGGTAGTTGTGCCTTTCTTGGTCTATTCTTTCATATTTCTCCCAAGTTTTTCTGAATTTCTCCTAATATCGCCTGGTGGCGTTTAACAGCAATTAGCTTGCTTTCCTCCGTTTCGTTGCAGTTTTTGAGATTCTGTTGGTTATGTAGCTCTTGAGTTTCATCTCTATCATCTCTATCATGTTTTTATTGGATCCCCACTCGATAAAGTCTTAAGTAGCATGTTTTGCTTTTTGTTGTAGATGTCATCAACTGGTTGTCAGACAATGTCTTCAACGCTGAACCTTGCCAACAGGCGTGAGTTGCCGGATCGGGTGCCAGGTGCAGCCATGGGTGTGCTTTGATATCTAGGCCAGATTGTTCGCCGCCGCCTCATTCTCAGCATCTCTGCGAGGAATTCGTGCGCACTCGTTAGCGGAAGATGATTTGAATCTTTGAGAAGTTGAGCAGGGAAAGAGTGTGTGTTTGGATGGGTGCGAGATCCTCAGATCCTAAGTGCATCAGCAGACCGATGCGTGCGTAACTTGTTTCAAGACATATAGTTTGAGAACATTGTTGGCGGAGCAACGTGGGTTGGAATGTCGAGCGTTTCTAACGGACTGATGTGTCACTTTGAAGAGCAACCATTGACGAGGACCAGGGGACAGTTGGAAGCGAAACATGTTCCCTTGCTGGCCGCTGTGCTGGGTGTCAGCTCCATCCTAGTTCCAGTCCTCTCACATATTGCGCAAGGAAAACAGCCACCTTATCCAACAATCAGCATGACAGCATACATGCCCGGAAGTTTCGAATACTTTGTGTTTGCAAGTGGCCTCTGTACAACTGCAAGCCTCTTGATTCTGACAGCCATCATCGTGCGATGGCGCCTTGGAGTTAGTGGTTACCTGGCGTTCATATCACACACTGCAGCAAACATTGCAGCTCTTGGCCTCGCCGTCACCAGTGTGGTCCCACTCCAACCAAACATCATGGACGTTCTTGCTCTACCACGAGCCGAGAGGAAGATGACGACGCAGTCTAACATTCACTCTTGGGCGGCCAACATCTTCTTTCTCAGCTCTTTGGTCCATGCTGTCTCCATGACTGTCATGCTGCTCCAGTACAAGTCAAGGAAGGATCCTGTTGTTTCTGATACATCCATGAGAGTCAAGGCATTGACTACATTCTTGTCATTCTTCTTCATTGCAAGCCCTCTCCTCTTGTTCATGTATGCTTCTCATGCATCTGCTCTCCGCCATTTTTGTTCCGTTCCGTGACTGGCGTGCAGGTACCCAAGAATCATTAAGGGCAGCAGAGTCACTGTCGTAGCTCTCAACCAGTACGGTGCCATCATGTCAGCACTTCTTTGGCTGTGAAGTCGCATGCTTATGCTCCATCGCAGGTGCTTGCTGAGTTTCTATGCAACCTACTATGTAGATCTGAAAGGTGAGCCTGTTGAGAATTTGTGCGGGGGCTGGGAGGGGCGGGGGGCGAAGAGGGAGGATTGAGAGAGAAGAAAGTGAGGAGGGTAAACAATACGTGCAGGTTATCAAGTATGTTTGAAGCCTTCCTCAAGCGCGGCAGCTGCTTCCAAGGCTTCAGGACACAAGGAGCAGAACGAGGACAAGGAGGAGTGAGTGACGGATGTCTGTCGATACTCCTGTGACCTTGTCCTCAGCTGAACTCCTTCACGCGAGACCAAGTCCTTCATGATGGTAGATGATGTGAACCAGATTACGAAGACGAGGAAGCTCGCGGTGAAGCTGCTTCGTAGAAATTCAACGAGAGGTCGAGACGGAGAGAGGAGTGAAAGACAGACTCCAAACTTATTAAAACAAGATTTGGTAATAGCGGGTCGAAAACATTCTCAGCCAAGAAGAAACAGAAAGTTGCATCTCTCCGTTTTCTCTTCCACCGGTCCAGCCCCGAAATCCATCTCGCCCTCGAGGCTGTCGGAAGGTGACAGGCTGAGGATGGAAATGAAGGAGATGGGAGGGACAACAACAGAGAAATTACTTGCGGGTTCTCTCCCACCTGATTCAATCACTCATTCCCGGACGACCCGCCACTCTTCTGTTGCTGGATAATCTCATGAGCAGTCTCGGCAAGCGCGTTGAGCTTCTCTGCCGCTTCTCGGTCCTCGTCGTCAGCTTCACTTGCCTCCTTCTTGTTCACCAGCGACTGCAGCTTGGCCTTGAGAGCAGCGTTCTCAGCGTTGAGGGACTCGAGCCGCCAGAGAAGCGACTTCTTCTCGCCCTCCAGTGCATCGACGCGAACTTCCAAAGACTCAAGGTGAATCTTCTTCCGCTGCCTCGACTGCTGCGCCGAGGCTCTGTTCTTCTCGCGCCTTCGCTGCTTCTTGAGGACAGTTGGGTCTGCTCCACCATCTCCATTCACTGGCGATGTGGAGCCGGAGCTGATGTGCACGTTTCTTGCCGACAGGGACGATCGCTTGCGATTCTTGGAATCATCATTCGCAGCAATCATGGCTGCAAGAGAAGACACGGCTTCTTCTTCGCAGATGTTACCTCTTGGCATGTCCGTCTCACTGTGAACTTCCTCGGAGATTGAAGAATCCGAGTCTGTCTTGTCACATGCCGACCCACTGTTTCCGCAATCCTCGTCACGCGACTTGAACTGTGCCGTCAGCTTCTTGCGGGCGGGCCCGCTCCTTGGACCATTGCTGAGGTTTCTCAGACTTTGACCTTCAACAACCTGGAGGAGGGTTTTGCAACCTCGTCAGCGCAGTCCATCCCACTTCCCGACGCTCTGCTCGTACCTTGTTTGCATCGTTGAGGGTGGGGGGGGGAGCCACGGACCCGGGACGCGCCATCTCGATGTGGTCGCAGTCCCGGGCCGTGAAAGAATGGAAATTTCTTAGCCCAAACGAGCAGGAGTGGCTGATCTGCTGATCAGGGTCACACAAGAGGCGGGTACCATTCATGACATTCGTCAACATGAGAACAAACACGGCAGTGCGGAGAGGTTATCGGCCAAAAAGATCATTTGATGATTCTTGATTGAGATTGGCAATACTCCCAATGTGCAAGACCAACATAAGCGGGAATGTGTCTCTTAATACTACGTTCTGTGTTGCTCTCTATAGCTGACTGCATTCAACACCACTACACCGAGTACATCTCGATCTCTCTCTCTCCGCTCCTCCTTTCACACCCAACACCAACCATTTCATAACTGCACGTATGTTTTTCATAAACCATTCATCACATTCTGATTTGCGCTACACTCTCAGCTCATCGCAAGTGTTCGGTTGTTCCCTACTCCCCGTCCGTCCTTGTGATCCTTACTGCCCTCTGTGATTCGTCTGTCCAGAGGATCCCCTCCCTGTAGTTGATTAAATTGATGCATCCCCTACCCTTCCTCATATCTCCTGCCGTCGATAACTCCACACTATCACACGTCAACCTCAACGCCCTCATGTTGTATACTCCCTCTGATATCCCCTGCAAAACCTCGCCTTCGTCTCCTCCTCTCCTTCACCTCATCTCCTCTTCCTCTCCTTCCCTTCCTCTGCTCCAGCTCTCTCTCTCCCTCCCTCTTCTATTCTCACTATCTTTATCCTTCCTCCCTTCTCTTTCCCTCCTCCTCCTCCTCCTGCTCCTGCTCCTCTCAGTCTGTTTCCGCCTCTGCTGTGCATTCTCTCAAGACAAACTCTCCCGCCTTATCGCACCCCTTCACACTAACCCCTACCTCTTTTGCTTTTTGATCACCACCCCTACCCACAAATGAATATTTCTTTACCCTACAGAATACTTCCAAGTACCCTACCTTGTCTATTCAAGTACCCTACCCATAGAATTTATTGTTGACCACCCTACCTTTCTGTTTTGTCAGGCCATCACTGTGAGTTAGACCACCCCTGTTTCATCCACCCCTACCCATACATGTCATGGGAAAAGTACCCCACATACAAAGAGGGTTGATATCACCCCTACCGCCATAATTTTAGCCATATGAGCAACAACCACCCTGTATAATTGACGGTTGGATCTATGAACCCCACCCTTTTTGTTGGACCCCAGGTAAGTCATTCCGTGTCATTGGTGACTCCATTTTTACCAGTATGCGGTACCGGTTCATGAATACCCTTGAATCAAAGTACCCCTACATTCAATCACCACCACCTTCTTACACCCCATAAATAATGACCCCACCCTACCACATGAGCCCTCCATTTCTGCCGTCACTGTTGCACCTCAGCGCCGTGAGTCAAAATGACGGGGCCCGGCACTGCCTCCTGCCCGGCCACCGGGTGACCGTTCCGTCGGACCCGGTGACGGAATACAAGTTTGTTAGACTTGTACTAGTCCAAAGTCACGCAGATATCACATCGACCTTAGTTGTAACAAGACAGTTTTTGCTCAAGACCGAGTTTAATGCACACAAATCCAGAATTGAGGAGCACAAGAGATACTATAGAATGTATGCTAGGATGTGAAACACAAGCATCCAGACATGAGAGGACCTTAGCAAGACGGCTAGGAAAGCCCCCTCTTCGTCCACACACGCTACATTGGCCGCCTCGCAAACACGTAAGTCGTCTTGGTTTACAGGAGAGTTTTTGTTAACTCGGCGCTATCTGACTGGCACGGCTGGCATACGTTCCATCCTCCCCCCGAGTTTCTGAAATAGTACGTTACATCGGACGTCAGAAAGTCACGCAAACAAGAATGTCAGCAGATCCAAGTCAAGATACGACGATACAACGTCAAGTTCACAGTCATGCTGAGTGGGCAATCATTAACCATTCAAGGCCCCCGATTGTCCATTCTGAAGAAGATTTTCATGCAGGGCTATTAGATGTGCAGTGCAGAGATAAGGGAGATGCCTGGCGAGCTGATGCAATGACGAGAGAAGGAGGATAAGATAAGAGAGTCTGAGGAGAGAACTTTGGAGTTCAGATAACAGAGAGAGAGAGAGAGAGAGAGCGTGCCCGCCGGCATTTGAAGACCAAAAGATAAATTTTGAACCGTAAAGAACTTGTGACCAGAGATTGCTGCCGCGAGATTGGAACATCCGTTTCAAGGCATCTGAAGATTGTTGTGCAGTAGTACCTTGTTCGCCGATCCAGAAGTAGCTCCAGTTATGCCATGCCGCGCCACAGCCTAGCTCCATGACATGACTCTGCGCAGTGAAAACTTCCGCCAGATCTCCTGGTAGTTCCATTTGATCCTACTCAAAGATCAAGAAGATTAAAATCGAATCAGCTTCAAGTGCGTTTCCACACGGTTAAGCAGATATTCGACCGACCAAATCTGGCTGGGGAAAGGCTTGTTTTTCCAATTCGAAGATCAATCAAACAAATTGAGGCTGAGATGAGAGGCCTAAACAACTTGCGGCTAGAAAGAGAGCCTGATTGAAGAGAGGAGTCATCCGAATGTGTAAAGCTGATCAACATGATTGAGCATGTAATCGGGGCTCATAACGGCGGCGACGGAATACAAGTTTGTTAGACTTGTACTAGTCCAAAGTCACGCAGATATCACATCGACCTTAGTTGTAACAAGACAGTTTTTGCTCAAGACCGAGTTTAATGCACACAAAACCAGAATTGAGGAGCACATGAGAGATAGACTGTATGCTAGGATGTGAAACCCAAGCAAAGTCCCCTCTTCATCCTGTACTACATGCCGCCGCCCCGCAAACACTGACGTAAGTCGTCTTGGTTTACAGGAGAGTTTTTGTTAACTCGGCGCTATCTGACTGACACGGCTGGCATACGTTCCATCACCCGGCACCGCCGGGGCCGGGCCCGGCGGACTGAGTCGAAGCCAAGCGCGGCGGCGGTCACCCGGTCGGAAAGTCCCGGAGTCCGGCGAGCCGGCCCGGGCAGCCGCCAGCCCCGGAAGCCTGCCACCAGCCGCTGCCGCTCAGCGCGGCCAGGGCCGGGCCCGGCCGCCGCCCGTCCGATCGGCGTTCCGGCCGCGCGGTTCCAACGGCCCGGCCCGGGGCAAGTTCGGACTCCCGAAGCGGCCGGGCAGTGGCCCGGACTCAGTCGTGCACTGGCGGCCCCCGGGCCCCCGACTCGGGCCGATTCGAGTCGGCCCCCCCGTGACTACGGAGTACGGTCACCCGGCGTACCGTCACGGTCACGGGTCACGTGACTCATACCGTACGGTACCGGACGACCACCTCCCGACTCACAGTCAGCGCCCGAGTCCCGTGCCGCAGTGCGTCACGATCAGATGATTCAACGGTGCTACCGTAGTCACTGATGATCGCATGGCGGCGGCGGCGGCCGCCGCCGCCGCCGCTGCCGCAGGCCGCCGCCCTGGCAGGAGTTCGGAAGTTCGCCAGCCGCCGGCCAGTCGGGCCCGGGCACCGGCGCGGCTGCGGGACTCTCCAGGAAGGAACTTGATTTTTGTTTGAGTCATGACTCTCGGATTCAATCATAAGGAGAAACGAGGCTTTTTCACATTTGTACTACTTTTATCTGACCCTTCATCCCAAAGAGACAGGGGATGCTGATACGGTGGGCCTCAAGAAGGCAACCGCTCATATTAAAAATGTTGTAGAATTTCATGAGATACGGACTACCAGTGGGCCACACTATTGTATTAGATCGGCGAGGGGGGTGGTAGAAAAGGGTCCTGGTACCCCTACTGTTTCATAATGAAATGGATGGTTCCACAGCCTCGGCCGGAGCTCAGAGGGGTAGGGTGGGTGATCGACCGAGTTTGACTGACTTTACGGCGGAGTGTGGGAACGAGAACCGTCGCCGACAATAGGGGGGTGGTCCGTTCTGGGGGTCTTCAGGCCAGGCCGCGGGGTAGGGGTTATCAGCATAGCAGGGAGGGGTGGATCCTACCATGCCACTCCGTCACTACTGACACTGCTCTAGGACCACCAGAGGGTGGAGGAACATAAGGGTTCACTGATTTGTATACAGGGGGATGTTCCTCCGGGGCAGCTCTGGGGGTAGGGGGTTATTGTTGAGCACGGGGGGGGGGTACATGGGGCCGGAACTTTCAGGTCAAGATGTCTGCTGATGAATAGGGGTGGGTACTGAAAAGTAGCCGTAAGAGGGCCTCTAGGGAGGAACTAGGAAGCTATGACCTCGGTTATGACAATTGTGTGGCATGAAGGGGACAGGTACGGTAGGAGGGGTGGCTAAGTAAACTCACCTTGTATGGTAGGGTGGGGTCGGAGACTCAGAAGCCTGGGGTCATGTCATCTTCGGAGCAACTACGGGTAGTAGACCCTGTTAATGAGGGGGTAGGTGAAGGGTATTTGGGGGGTGAGGAAGGGCGTGCAGATGAAGAGATCAGGGGGTAGGGGTTGTGGGACATTTATTATAGAGTAAAACCGAAGACAAGAACAAAGCAGCGATGAAGAGTGTGGTGAAGAGAGTAGGGGAGAGGAGAGGAGAGGAGAGGAGAGGAGAGGAGAGGAGAGTTTGGGAGAGGAGAGTAGGGGAGAAGAGAGTAGGGGAGAGGAGAGGAGAGGAGAGATTGGGAGGAGGATAGAATTGTGAGAAGGCGCAAGGATAAGATGAGCAAGGACAAGATGGAGAGCGGATAGAGATGTGTAAAGACCATTTCTAATTGACTTGTTGTGATTGTCTACAGATCTACATCAGCAGGCTGAACTGAAGATTAGTAAACGCAAAGACAGCAAGGATACGAAACGTGCAAAATGGATAGCATTCAACATCGAAAGAGCACAGGAAAATATTTCCGTCCCAACAAAGTGCAAAGGCTCAATCGAGGTGAACTGTTAGTCTCAGCATTCTCAAGCATGTTGGCTTCGGATGGGAGACAATCTAAAGATCCCCATATGGACGATGGTTTGAGGGCGCAGAGAGAGGCTTTCGACTTGCTAAATCCGTCGAAGTCAAAGGCAGGGAAAAAGCTGTCATACCAACGAGGGATGCGAAGCAACTTGCTATGGAGAGCTTTCATAGGTCCATCGAGCCCTAAGGCTGCAGTTGACAGCAATGAGGGAGAGATGGAGATCCGTGACATGAGGATGAGATCGGCTTCTTCCCCTGCGCACATCTACCCTCGTAAAAGCATCCCGCACCAGCGCGGAGCAAGGGGAGCGATCCTTTCGACGATGCTGCACGGACTGATCGGAACTAGCACGGGGGAGGAGCATCGAAATGACAACCAGCTGACTGCCGACGGGCTCAGGCAGCAGTCGAGGTTCTTCCACGATGCTGAGGTACAACTGAGGTCCGTTGATGAGACGCAAGAGCCAGAGGATGGGAAGTGGACGCTCTGTATGGTCGCAGTGGACGAGCGATCAGTGTTACATCTGTTCGAGCAAGGCAGCGACCTCGCTTTCATCTCTTCCCCGTGAGGACTGTGCAGTGATGTTGAAACGGAATGACCGTGTTTGCACAGGTTGAGGTTGATTTCTATTACCCACACTCCCGGAGGAAAGGACGAGACGAACGATGTAGCGCATGTTATTGATGTGAAATTGACTTGATTGACTTCTGTTGCAGGTTATCAACATCATCATGGAGGTTGCAAGCAACCCAAACGAGATGAGAGTTGCAAGTGCGGATACTAAGAAGCACTCTGTTGTAAGTTGTTGTCTTCTCCTCTTGCTCCTCCTTCCCTCGTAAGGATCAACGGTCCTCCTGCTTTCTTCTTTCACTCCCTCCTGTTGCTTTCTGTCATCGACTTCGCCTCATCCTGCAACTACACGTTGATCTCTACAACTATGTCAAGTCGCGCTGACCCGACTGATGATTTTTTGTTGTAGTTCTCAGCATGTTTGAAGATTGAGGAGCAGGAGCCACGAGAACGTCTCATAGCGATTCTGCGTGAAGCTTGATGGCACTAGTTCTCATGTCTTAGGAGCAGTGAGTGAGTTGGAAGTTTTGCCAGAGGTTAGCTGCGAACTTTGGATTAAAGACCGTTTGGGCAGACTGCTCTTTGTTTGTCAACCTGGTTGACATTTGAATAACATTTGAGTAACAATAACGTGTCCATCAAAAGAGACTTGTTTGTCCTCTTGATGTGAGAAACTGGAAGGAGGACAACAATCTGAAGCAAGAACAATGTACTGATAAGACAATGCGACAAGTGTTTTACAGTCTTGCATGGATCCTCCCTTCCTACCTACCCCTCTCGCTGCCTTCGCTGCCCCCACTCCTTCGCCTCCTCCCTCCCTCCCTCCCCCCCCCCCTCCTATCAAAACACTTTCACACGGCAACGTCTCAACTCAGGTAGACTGCTAAGAGCACAACGAGGAGGACGAGGAGGACGAGGACGAGGACGAGGACGAGGACGAGGTACGTTCGATTCTCCTTCTGCTAGCCAGGTTAGCAGCTGCCTCTTGCTGATCGCCCTCACCGCAAGTGAGCCAAAGAAGACAATGTACTCGGCAAGACCTACAGGGACGTAGGCCATGAAGAGCGCTGGAGCATGGAGGAGAGCAGAGGGTATGGGGGAGGAAGAGAGCAGAGAGGAGAGGGGAGAGGGGAGGGAGGAGAGAGGAAGGGAGCAGGGAGCAGGAGAGACAGAGGAGAAAAGGAGGGAGGAGGAAGCAAGTGGGGAGGGAGGGAGGGAGGGAGAGAGCGAGGGAGGGAGGGAGGGAGTGGGAGGGCGCGAAGGAGGGAGATT